GGAGACTCTTATAAATGGGGTTTACTCAGGAAATAGGTTAAAATCTTTTAGGGGCACTACTGGTTGTTGGGAGGTTGTGGGGCTGGACTCCAGATGAGGGACAGGAGAAAGGAGAAATGGACCGAGAGAGCTGTGATCCAATCCTTGAGGTAGGAAGACAGGTGTTATGCGGAGATGAGATAAAAGCAGAGATAGCCAGTGTCATGTTTCCAAATGAAGTCACTGCCAGAAAGCCCCACAGCAGCTGGGAGGGAGGAGTGCTTCTGAGGACACAGCCTACAACAAAGGTGATCTGGGGACTTAGATCAGTGGGAAAGAGGAGGAGGAATGTGTCTTGGAGCCATTTAGTCCTATGCCAGCCTTGCAATCCTTCCTATACCTGGGCCTGTCGTTGCAGCCACTGTGTCCATCCATCTCATTGAGGGCCTTCCCCTTCTTCGCTGTCCCACCACTTTATCAAGCATGATATCCTTCTCCAGGGAATGGTCCCTTCTGGCAACATGACCAAAGTAGGTGACATTATTGTTAAAGTAATGTATAGACGTGTGTGTTGGGGGCAATTGTTCTTCCTTTGTTATTTACTGATTTTTGTCCTAGCAAGATAAGGAAGCAGTATTAGTGAAGGTAGCAGGCAAAACTACACACAGCCATTCCAGGGAATACTGAACAGTGTGACCCAAAGAGGAATTATGTGGACTGAGGAACAGTTGGAAATAAAGCCAAATTGTTGAGGACTTAGACTTAGACTTCAGGATGAAGGAATTTTGTTTCTTGCTACCTTTATGCACTTTGGAGTCCCTTCGTGGTACAAACAGTTAACACACTTGGCTGCTAACTGAAAGGTTGGTAGTTTGAATCCACTCTGAGGTACCTGAGAAGAAGGGCCTCCTGATCGCCTTCCAAAAAAATCAGCCACTGAAAATGCTAGGGAGCACAATTCTACTCTGACACACCTGGGTCTTCACGAGTTAGAATTGACTCAATGGCAATCCAATGTTCTTATTAAAGAGGAAACCATCAAGATAAGTGGGCCCCAACCTGCCAAGGTATGCAGTTAGAGATGTGTACTGTTAAAACAAAAATAATATTAACCCAATAATAGAAATTGTTTATTTAATATTATTTAATATACAAGGAGCTCTGGTGGCACAGTGTCTAAGGCATTTGACTACTAACCAGAAGGCTGGTGGTTCAAACCCACTAGCCACTCCTCAGAAGGAAGATTGGGCAATCTACTTCCATAGTGATACTGCCTTGGAAACCCAAGAAGGGGTAGCAAATTGCAAATTGGGGCAACATTTCTGAGTAAAGAGTTAAAAATGTTCTAAAGAATAAATTCTTTCACAGATTCTTATACTGTAACTTATCACTAGTAATTATACATTGTCATGGAAACAGAGCCAGAATAGTGTTTACATAATGACTTGTGGACATGTAATATTTTCTTCAAGAATAATTCAGATAATTACTGATGGACCCTAAAAGATAGCTTGTAATCTGACCTTTGGAGTTTCTGTTGTCAAAATGGTATACAGATAATTCTTTAAAACGGCACAATGCTCAAGGCAAACATTCCTTACTAATAAAGAAACCAGCTTTCTCAAGGTTTAAGGTCCAAAGGGTCTCTCAGGGCAATAGTTTGGGTGAGTCATTTCAATCTCCATGAAATCCAGAAATCCCGATTCCACAAGGATTAAAAACTATGTTCCTCAGTACATTGCCATGTTGAGAGTGAAAACATTTGTGTCCCAAGGAGAATGTGCAAAGCTTTACATATTCTGCTTTTCTGAAAGTAAAGAACAAACTGAACTTAAAAAAAAAAAAAAAAAAACCTCTGGCAAGGAATGCTATGGTTAAAAAAAAAATGAAATGAGAGTCTGTTCCGACTCCTTTAAGTCATCTTGGAGCCATTTGGAATGAGATAAAATGGCTTATATGGACTTACATGTTTTAAAAAGTTTTTAAAGGGACACTAGAGACTTTAGTTTTGGATCTTTCACTTGACTTAAAGAAGCAGCTCCCAGTACATTCTGCGGACACTGCCAAATGCTCTCCTTTCCTGAAAGTCACCAACTTCCTTTGTATCAAAATGAAGCAGAGGGTGTATTCATAACGTGGGAGTTGACAGTGTGACTTCCTTGTAAAAGAGGCCAATTAAAGCCCAAACACTATATACTGAACTTACGGTTTCAGGAGCACTCAAGACAAGCCAGCCACAAAGTATACTGGTTCTCAAAGTATCTGTCATGCTGAGACAGGGCCACTGTGACTCCTCTCTCTGCTTCCCCAAGCACAACCCTTCTGGGGAGAGATCCAAGAAAAGGCTCCTTTTCTGACATTTCCTGGCACGAGGTCCACCCCCACTGTCACCACCACCAGCAACCATCTGCCCCATCCTCACAGACAGGCTGCCTTCCCTTTCTGGGTCAGCCATCTCTCACCAAGCAGCATGACCTCACAAAGAAAGGAAAGCTACAACGAGGTTTCTAAAATCAGTAAATAACAAAGGAAGAATAGTTCCCCCAACCCACACATCTGTACTTTAATAATAATGTCACCTACTTTGGTCATGTTGTCCAAAAGGACTATTCCCTGGAAAAGGTTATCAAGCTTGGTAAAGTGCTGGGTCACTGAAGAAGGGGAAGACCTTCAGTGAGACGGAGTGGCACAGTGGCTATAACGATGGGCTCAGGTACAGCAAGAATTGGGAGGTTGGCACAGGATCCAACAGTGTTTTGTTCTATTGTACACAGGGTCACTATGAGTCAGAGCCGACTCGATGGCACCTGACAACAACAACAACATTAGTTTTCTAGATAGTACTGTAAGGGGCCCTGCTGACTAACCAAAAGATTGGTGACAATTCAAACCCACCAGCAGCTTCTGGGGGAAAGATCCGGTGATCTGCTCCCACAAAGAACACAGCCTAGGAAACCCTATGGGGCAGTTCTACTTTGTCATATAGGGTTAATGTGGGTTGGAATCAGCCCAACAACATACAAGAACAGCAGGTAGTACCACAAAATAAGTAGCATAAAAGAACAGAAGGTTATTGTCCCGTAGTTCTGGAGGACAGAAGTGCAAATCAAGGGTCATGCTGTCTCTGAAGCCTCTAGGGGAAGATCCTGCCTTGCCTGTTCCTAACTCCTAGTGGTCCCTGGCAATCCTCGGTGTTCCCTGGGGTATAGATGCATCACTCTCATCTCTTGTATTTGTCTAACCTGGTTGTCTCTTCCCTCTGTGTCTGTCTCTTCTGTGTTTAAAAGGACATCAGTCATCTTGAACTAGGATTCACTCTACTCCATGACCTCATGTTAACTGATAACATCTTATTTCCAAACAAAGTTATGGTATTTCAAACTTAGTATATCATTTGAATAGACAAAATTCATTCCATAACAGCCCCATATCAGCACATAACTATTTTGCTGGGAAATGACTTCATCATGGAAAAGTATAGGCTTTTCTCCTAATTTTTACTTATTGCACAAACAGCACTCTGTAAACCATATAAAATATAACAAAAAGAAAAAAAATCACTTATAATCCTGCCACTCTAGCAAATGAACTTTTTTTATTTGTCTTTGCTCCATTCCAGCCATTGTCCACATGCATACCTATTTTACAGCACTTTAATCATAGGGCACTTGCAATTTTACATTCTTCTTTTTTCACAGTCATTGCAGAGGATTATACACATTTTCCCTTGATTACTTCTTGTCCTGGCAGAGTATGTTTCTTACAGACCAAACCCAATAGGCATTAAACAAATGACGCCCATGACCACCTTTTCCTTCTGCCGAACCTACAGAAGTTCTTGTACCATTCGCTTTAATGTGGCTCCTCTTCTCATAGATGTTTCTTTTCAGCCTAAGAAAGAGCTGCCTATCAGATACAGAGGAGTCATAAAAAGTTTGATTTGAGTTTGATTAGAGGCAATTATTTTAAGCTTTTCTGTTGTGTGGAAAAAATCAAATGGATATGCGATCCAGACTGCTTATCTTATTCTAAAGCCAAGATATTCTAAATATTCTAAAGCCATATTGCAATTATTGGCAACCACTCTCCTTCAGGGATCTGCCCTGGTCAAATTCTCACAGACCGCTTCCCATGATTCCTCTGCTTTCCGTGCTGAAGAGACCCAAGGCCAGGCTAGGTAGGGAGAAAGGTGCTGGGGCTGGGGAATGAGCTGTTGAAACAGAGCAGCTTCAGAAATGGTCATGTGTCTCCCATCTCACTCCTGCCTTGGGCTACTTATAAAGGCATGGCAATCATAAGGTTTCCATAACGCTTGTCTCTTCCCTCAGTAAGGAGGTCCTCTGTGGGTAGAAAACCATCACCCTCTCAGAGGGGGTAGATGTGCATTTCTAACCAAGAAGCATTCTGGGGGCCCTGTAAGCGCATGTAGTTCACCCACACCCCACAGTGCTCCTTCTGCTTCACCAGTCCCTGCCCTTTGCCACTAACAGAGGGGCCAGGACAGCTGTCCACATCAGGTTCCTCAACCTAGCACTGACTACCCCAAAAGACCCCTAACTTGAATTTCCATTCAAAACATATTTAAACCTATGCAACCTTCTCTTGCATTCTTAGAAATAAGCCAAATAAGGATCTCCCACACCTACTCCTCAAATGACTAGAATCTCCTAGAAGGACAAGTGTGTATGTGTATAGATACACATAAGTACACGTATGTGTCTGTATGTGTCTGTGTGAGTGTGACTGGACAACAATGAGTTTGGTTTGGAGTTTGGATTAGCTATAGAGCTCTGGTAGCATAGTGGCTAAGGCACTTGACTGCTAACCAGAAGGCTGGCGGTTCAAACCCACCAGCCACTCCTCGGAAGGAAGGTTGGGCATTCCTACTTCCGTAGTGATACTGCCTCAGAAACCCAAGGAGGGGTTGCTATGAGTCGGGGCCGACTCGATGGCAAATAACAACAACAACATAGTGGTCTGTATTTCACACTAAAATGTTTTTTTTTTTTTTTTTTTTTTAGGGTCTGAACTTCAAGAGCTGCAGAAAATGATTGACAGCCTCCAGAGTCCCCAAGACCCCAAACAGGTGGCCCAGGCACTCCTTCTCCGGAGGGAGGTTTTGTTTCTGCAGTTTGACGCTGCAGTGAGGTATCTCACTCGGTATGGCCTGGAGCACTAATTCTGTCTAGTAAATTCTTTGGGGCAGGTGTTTGCTGAGTGACCATCCAGGGAGGCCATTCTTGGCAAGATTAGAAAATGCACTTAAAATAGTCAGGGGCACAACCAGATCTAGAATACGGGTGACCAAGCACGTCCCTCTGCCAAGGGTGTCAGTGGGGAATGATTACTTGTTGGATAATGTTATTCTTGATTTTATTAAATGTGAGTTCAAATGAGTTAGTTTGCATATTAATTACTGCTTTCAATGTTCAGGCTATCTTCTTGGGAGTAATATATTTTATACTTCTGAGGATTATTATTTATAAGAGTTTTTATTTTTCTCAACCTTTCTGTACCTTTCAAAAACACAGACTTTCTACTGCACTTCCGAAGTCAATGGAATTGACCGCCTAAGTTAAATTTATAAATAAATATACTTACCTCCAACCCATACGATTCCTATCAAGCACTCTGCATATAAAAAGAATGTTATTTTTGGTTAATTAATAATAATGACTCTGATGAGAACATGAGTTTGGATTAAGATTTAAAATGTTTCTGGTATGATGGGTAAGCTTTGTATGGGAAGGGGAAAAGGGTCAAGCCTGAGGGTCTCTGCTTATTTTAAAATTGTCAAAATTCAGTAACTTCCTTTGGTAAATTCTCAGTATGAGCATTTAGCCAATGCAGGGTGCCCTCTGAGGGCAGGGCTGTTCCCTGTGGATTATGACAGCTTTCCACTGTCAGCATGGAGGTCCTCAGAAAGAGTGGAAGCATAGGGTTTGTACCTTACCGGGGAGTCCCTGGGTAGTGCAGATGGTTAATGTCGCTAATCAAAAGGTTGGAGAGTCAAGTTCACCCAGAGGCACTTCAGAAGAAAGATCTGGCAATCTACTTCTGAAAAATCAGCTGTAAATCTATGATGCACAGTTATACTGACACACATGGAGTCGCCATGAGTCAGAGTGGACTCCATGGCAAGCATACTTTGTTTCTCTCTGTGTTTTCTTTACACTGAACATGGAAAATTTTGTGGATTTAGAATGTAAATTCAGCAGGACGAAAAGGCAGGCTCGTGTGCTTTCTTTTCATTAACAAACAGCTTTCTGAGCTAAAGCTTAGTCAAGCAGCCACTCTTGACTGTCCCTGATTGTCAAGGCAGCCATTCATCTAGGCTCCCATCTAGACCCCAAGGTCAGAATTTGTAAGGAATTTACATGGGACGAAGAAACAGGAGTCCTTTTTGGATTCCAGATAATTGGATTCTAGCTATATAGGGTTCAGTATGCCACTCCTTCCAGGGAACCACTGTACTTCCCCTCAGAATTGCCTTGCCAGATTTCTTTGCCCTGGCACTCACTTTGCAGGAATATGGGGCATTGTGTCATGCGTCTAGTTTCAGTATATTTATCAGAGGACCCACCAGTAGAGCCATGTGGTCCCTCTGGAGGAAGCCACCCAGGATGGCAGACCCCCATGAGTCCTTCACTCATTACCTCCCCTCCAGCCATTTATACAATGGTGTCTATTTTCTTTGCGTAGTTTGATTGTCTGTGTTTCGAAACACACAGCTAGTAAGTGGCAGACCAGAATCAAAACCAAGATGTCTGACTGAAAAGTCCTATAACAATGATGCTGGGCAGCGTTGTAGGTTGAAGAAGGGACTTAGAAAAGATGTCAGGGACAGGAGAAAAGAGAAGCAAAAGATAAATATCATCCCTCTAGGTCATTTTACTTAGGCAAACAAGGGAAAGACTTGCGTTTACTTGAAAACAAGAAGAAAAAAAAAAAAAACTCACTGCCATCAAGTTGATTCTGACTCATAGCAACCCCTTTTGGGTTCCTAAGGCAATAAATCTTTACAGAAGTAGATTGCCCTGTTTTTCTTTCACAGAGTACTGGTGGGTTTAAACTGCCAACCTTCTGGTTAGCAGTCAAATGCCTTAGGCACTGCACCACCAGAGCTCCTTGCAAACAAGGGAAAGACTAGATAATCAAAAAGACAGGACGTTTGAGGAAGTTCTTCTGCCTTTCCCAGAGCTCACCAAGACTAAGCAATGTGACTGCTTTCCCCAAGGAACTCTTGGTTTATGTGAATTAAAGACTACTCCGGGAGCTCTGGTAGCATAGTGCCTAAGGCACGTGACTGCTAACCAGAAAACTGGCGGTTCAAACCCACCAGCCACTCCTCAGAAGGAAGGTTGGGCAATCCTACTTCCGTAGTGATACTGCCTCGGAAACCCAAGGAGGGGTCGTTATGAGTCGGGGCCGACGCGACGGCACATAACAACAACAACAACAAAGACTACTCCAGAGCTCTGGTGGCATAGTGTCTAAGGTATTTGACTACTAACCAGAAGGCTGGTGGTTCAAACCCACCAGCCACTCCTCGAAAGGAAGGTTGGGCAATCTACTTCCATAAAGATTTATGACCTTGGAAACCCAAGGAGGGGTCCAACTATGAGTCGGATCTGACTCAATGGCAGTGGGTAAAGACTACTCCAGAGCTTGAACAGAAAGAACAGAACCTTTACTTTGAAGGAAAACATCATGCTTCCATAGATAGGGGGAAGGAGGGAGAAGGATGGCTCACGGACAATAGATAAAGGTCCTGTAAAGTTATCTAAGGGAGCCCTGGCAGCACAATGGTAAAGTGCTCTGCCACTAACCGAAAGGTTGGAGGTTTGAACCCACCAGTGGCTCTGCAGGACAAAATACCTGGTAATCTGCTCCCATGGACATTACAGCCCAGGAAACTTTATGGGGCAGTTTTACTCTGTCCTCTAGGACCACCATGAGTTGGTATAAATTTGAAGGCACACAATAACAACAGTCACCTATCCTGGATAGCATAAACAGTTCAGTGCTTAACTACTAACTGAAAAGTTGGTGGTTCAAACACACACAGAGGCACCTCAGATGACAGGCTTGGCAATCTACTTCCAAAGGTCACACACTTGGAATACTATGGAGCAGTTCTCCTCTGCACACATGGTACCACTATGAGTCAGAAATGACTCGATGGCAGCTACCACCGAGTAGTATATTACTACCACCAACAACAAAAGTCACATATCTGGCTCCTGCTTCTCTGTGACATAGATCAGCTCAAGCTGCTGGACTGGGGCATGTTTCCAGGCCCAAACCTTTCATTCTGCCCCTGTCTACCTGCCTCCACGGAGCTTGGAACAGGGCCAGATGGAAATGGGTCCTGTCGTCCACCAGGGCTGGAGTCACATTGCCAGGACCAGCCATCCACCTCTGGGTTGCCCACCAACCTTCAGGAGTTATTACTACCAATGTGAGAAATGCTTGAGGACTGAGCGCATCTTTAATGGCAGGTGAATTAGCCATTTGCATTAAAGGTAAACACTTGGATGGCACAACTGTTCTAATCAGTCTCATCTATTTATGGCAGGGGTCAAAAAATTACTGCCATTGGTCTCTGGCTGTTTTTGTATATGTGACCTGTGTACCACGTCCTATGTGGATGTTACATTTTTTTAATGGTTGGAAAAAAAAAAATCAATAGAAGAATAGCATTTTGTGACATAAATTATCTGAAATTCAAATGTCAGTGTCCATGAAGGACTTTTTATTGGAACACAGTCATGTTCATTCATTATGTACTGTCTCTGGCTGCTTTCTTCATCCTACAACCAGAAACTAGATGGTCCACAAAGCCAAAAATATCTATTATCTGCCCTTTAAGGAAAAGTTTGCCAACCCTTGATTTTAACAATGGAATTCATTTGCAATTTGAGGATGGGAGGGAAGGAAAAAAAAAAAAATCCCTCAAAGGGACTCTATAGAGCAGAGTAAAATATGTGGCACAAAATGTGCCTCTAAACTGAACATATTGTTGATATTCAGGCTGATGGTGGTGAAAAGGAGAAACTTGAAAAAATATCCTGAAGGTATAATAACTCCCTGCAGCAAGCCTGATTTAGTAGTATTAAAAAAAAAAAAAAAACAACCCACACTCACTGCCATTGAGGCAATTCCAACTCATAGCGACCCCCTTTGGGTTTCTGAGGTGGTAAATCTTTACGGAAGTTGATTGCCCAATCTTCCTTCCATGGAGTAGCTGGTGGGTTTGAACCGCCAATCTTCAGATTAGCAATTAAATGCCTTAGGCATCATGCCACTAGAGCTCCTTTACAGTAGTATCAAGGGGTCTCTAAAGAGAGCAATCTCAGCTTCTCAGTCTTTGAACTTCTGTTGTTTTTCTCTTCATTTAAAATTGATTTTTATCTTCACATTTGCCTAGGGTAAAGGTTTCTAAACACAGATGTGGAGGTATGCTTCAGGGTCATCCGGGGATCTCTGAGACATGCGCAGATAGCCTCATGTGAGTTGGGTCTACCTAGTGACCGTGGCCTGGGTCTCAAGAGGCTGAGAAGCCAAGCACCTCAACTTTTGGCTGGTTTCCTCAGGGCCACTTTGCAGGTTTTTAAAAATATCCGTGTGCTAGTCTAGAATATGGTTAATGCACTTGACTGCTAACTGAAAGTTTGCAGGTTCAAATCTACCCAGAGACAGCCCCTGACGATCTACTTCAGAAAAATCAGTCATTGAAAACTCTGCAGACCACAGTTTCTCCTCAGACACACATGGAATCCACATGAGGCAGAACTGACTCAGTCTAGAGTATATATCAACCTTCTCCTTGAAGGCTATGATTTGTGGGGATGAAGTTCTCAGTGCGTCAGGAAAAGAGGGATGATAATGAGGTGGCTAAGAAAGAAACTTGGGTTAATATCTCAAAATGTTACCTTGCCACAGTTCTTTGAAGAACGTTTTGTGCTTCAGAAACATAAATAATTGCTTTTAAAGAAATTTCCCCGTTTTTCTAGACGAACATTTTTGGCAGCTGGAAATGTTTCTGCCTATCAGTCTGTCACAGACGGCATGTACCATGGATTGCCACCAATGAGCAGCTCTCTTGTGAAAAGCATATTTGCTTCACAGCTCGGCCTGCCCCAGCCACTGGATCCACGAAGCCTCCAGGTGTGTTTATAGGTGTTTTTATACCTCTCAAAGGAGTGCAGTATGTAGGGGATTTGTCACTTTGTTTCCGTTTGGTTTAAATTTTGTATGGACTCTCGGTGCTTTAATGTACTTCAGTGTTCATTGGCTCGCCTCTAGCCTCTACTCATGTGCGGAAAAAAGCCTGGGCCCCATGGCCAGCTGTTATTCCCAGTCAGGGTCTTTGTCTCCAAACTACTCAACAGACTAATGGGATAACAGTATATCTACTCTCAGCTGATAGCAAAACCAACTTTTGATCTTTTTCATGTAATAAGTAACAATGATATGATTTGAATTATAACACGTATATGAAGTCAGCAGCTACTTGAATACCCTGGTTACAGTGTGTATTATCACATTTGGTCGTGCCGACTCTTGTTGTTTCTAGGCTGGAACAATATTACCCAACTAAAAAGTTTAAGGCTCAGGAAGACTAGAAATCATATCAGTAGAGAATCATGGCAGAGCTTGGTCACAAACTGCATTCATTACCTACAGCTGGGTAACAAATTACCCCAAAATTTGGTAGATTAAAACAATAAACATTCATAATCTCATGTTGTTTCTGAGGATTAGGAATCTGGGAGCAGTTTAGTTGGACAGTGAGGGGTGGATTATCCAAAAAGTAAGATAAGCATGGGCTTCTTTATGCTTAGGAACTCTGGTAGCATAATAGCTAAGGCATTTGAACTGCTAACCAGAAGGCTGGCGGTTCAAACCCACCAGGCACTCCTCGGAAGGAAGGTTGGGCAATCTACTTCCACAGTGATACTGCCTCGGGAACCCAAGGAGGGGTCACGATGAGTCGGATACAACTTGACAGCAATGGTTACTTATGCTTACTTGCTAATCTGTAGTGAATAGTTTCAAATGGGTTTCTTTGAAACTGTTCACTACAGATTAGTAAGTAAGCACAAGTAAGCCTGCGTTTACCTTGATTTCTAGGCACTCTGTCCCTTTCAGAGACGGTAAATATGAAAAGAGGCTTTGATTCTGTAGGAAGGTGCTGTGGGGTTGGGAGAGAGGATGCCAGCCATACCTAGAAGCAGAATCTTTGATGTTGTGAGAAAATGTGAAATTATTTTATATAGCAATTGAGATTAATAAGTAAGCACAAGTAAGTTCATGCTGACCTTGCTTATTGGGAAATCCAACACCGGGGGTGTTTCTGACTCAGGGTTCCTCACAGGCTACAATCTTTAATCTATGTCATTAGAAACTCTCCACCAGGGTTGTAGTCAAGGTTCAGCTGGAGGAGAGTCTGATTCCAAGCTCACTCACATGACTGTAGGTTTCAAAAGATCTACTTCCAAGTTCATTCACATGGGCTTCTCACCAAAGGGCTGCCTCACAACCTGCCAGACAATTTTCCCAAGAGTGAGCAGTCCAAGCAAAAGAAAGAAGGAACCCAAGATAGAAGCCACAGTCTTTATATTACCTAACTTCAGACGTATAATCCTATCACTTATGCCTTGTACTTTTCATTAGAAGCAAGTCACTAAGTCCAGCACACACTCAAGGGGCAGAGAATTAAGCTCTATCTCTTGATGGGAAGAGTTTCAAATAATTTGTGAACATGTCTTCAAAACCACCTCACAAGCCCAGGTCTTGACTCTAAAACCTTTGATTTGATGTTTTGATGTTATAAAGGTTAGCCAAAGTGAAACCAACATCAACCTCAAGGAGTCCCACACTTTCACCCGCTCTAGCTCCAAGACAGTGACTTCTGGCCCAAGCCTTCACCCTATTTGGACTCAGAAGACAGGGTTGAATCCTGACCACTGGGCCTACTCGTGTTGCCTTGAACATTGCCTGGTGTTAGGTGGATACAAGTGTCCTGAAGTGACTTGGAGCAACTCCAGCTCCAGGAGTCATCTGAAGGCAGCATCAGTTCTGGAAGTATAGAATGGGGTGAAATAGGCAGGCCCACCACATCCAGGGCTGCGCATGGTCCTACAAGTGGTTGGGGTGTCTTGGGCTCTGGACAATAATGTGGAGAAGACAGAGGTTTACATGTAATATATTGTAGCACTGATCTTATCTAGAACTGGATCAGAATGGTGATATAGGAAATTTTTAAGGCTTATAGTATTGAGATCATTTGAGTAAATTTACTTTTGTAGATTAAAATATGTCCCATTAGTGTCATTCTGTTCTGGACTTCTAAACACTGGTGCTGACTAGTTACACTGAATTTTTTTATTATTATTATTGTGATTTGGGTGAAGATTTACAGAGCACATTCATTCTCCACACAACAGTTCATACACAGTTTGTTTCACGACGTTAATTGCTATCCCCATAACGTAACCACTCTTTCTCACTTCCTTCTCATGGTTGCCTTTTCCCTGTGTCTTTCTCTCCTATGCATTCCTGCCCTCTGAGCCATCTCCCTGTGCAAATACTGCCCTTCTGATCTCCCATGGTTGATTGTCCTAAGGAGTGTACCTACCTGGTGTAAAAGTTCACCTTGTATGTCTGTCTATTTATTGTTTGGCTGGGGGTGAGTTCAATTCTAGGCCCAAGGGGTGACTTGGGGCTATAGTCTCAGAGGTTTCACCAGTCTCTATCAGACCAGTAAGCCTGGTCTTTTTTTTTTTTATGATTTTGAGTTTTGTTCCACATTTTCCTCCCACTCTATCCAGGATCTCCTAAACTGATCTTTTTCTGAGTGGTTGGCAGTGGTAGCAGGCGCCATCTAGTTCTTCTCACAGTCATGTAGGCTGAGGTTCGCATGGTCCACTAGTCCCTTGAACTAATTGTTTCCATATATCTTTGGTTTTCTTCATTCTTCTTTGCTCCTGGTGAAGAGAGACCAATTGTTACGTCTTAAGTAGCCACTTGCAAGCTTTTAAGACCCCAATCATTACTCATCAAAGTAGGATGTAGAATAATGTTTTTATATGGTATGTTATGCCAATTGAACTTGATAGTTACAATGAACTCTTAACTATGCTCTGTGTTAAGCCACCTTCTGGGGGACAAATTTGTTTTTAAACAAGACTATTACTCTTTCCTCTATGTCATCAGGAACTATCCATCAAAACTGTGTATCCAACAGGGTTTTAGGATACACTCATAGAAATTCTGTTCATATACAGATGTCTATTACTTTTGGACATGGTACAACATTATCATCTTTATTATCTGGTTCTTTTAGGCATTTGTGCTGTTCCCTTGGAGAGCATTTCTGGAAGATGGAGGACCATTTCCAGTTTTGAGTAACAGCCCTGATACATTAGAATATAATATGCAGGTAGAGTGGATCTTCTCATTAATCACTGAGAGAGCTGAATGTAGTCTGCAAAGGAGGTTGTTATTAGGTTCATAGGTCATGTGCTCCACACTCTAGCCAGTGGTGGATAATTTATGAGATAAGCAGAGTGTTTGATATGAAGTTATAAACCTGATGCTGAAAGGTGAGTCATGTTTTCTTACAACAGGTAAGAATCATGCTCTTAGCATATATCTGCCTCAGCTGAAGTCTGTCTCTGAACCTTAGAGAAACTTCCAGGCTGGCAGTTCAAAGTGCCATCCCTCCTGACTTACTGATGGAACAGTGGTGGGAAGAGAATGTTTTAAGTAGGGTTCATAAGGAGAATTATTTTTAAGTTTTTGTTTTTCCTCTGATTGTTTACATGATTTTTGTTGCCTTTTCATTTTAAAAAATAGAAAATATAAAAAAAAGTGTTAAGAACAAAATGAAAATTAACCATAAATTCACTTCAATATGGAGGTGGAAGTATATGGGAATGGGGCAGGACTGGTCGTGGATTGATGATTGTTGGGGCTGGACGATGGGAATATCACCCAAGAGCAGCAAACTATGTTGTTTGCTTTTGTATATGTTCAAAGTTCTCCATAAATAATTTTTTTTAAAAAAAGTGAAATAATAGTAATAATAATGTTTTTATAAAAAATCAGTCATTGTCCCACCACTAAGAAATGTTCAGTTAACATTTTGGTTTTACCACTATTTTCCCTATGCTTACATGTGTTTGTGTTTGTATCTTTAGAGGAATACTGACATCACACTATATTCAGTGGTGCATTCTTCTTTTCACTGGATTTGATATAGTTAGACTTTCTAAATACCATTGTGTAGTGACTTAACATCTCATTGCAGGAATTTATCAGAATTTATGTAACTGTAGCCCTGATGTTGGATATTTAGGTAGCTTCTGACTTCAACTACTATAAATAATGCTGTTGGTTTTTGTATACAATCTCATACCTCAGCATCTCTGATTGTTTCTTTAGGAAAATTTCTTAGAATTGTTGAGTTAAAAGGTATGAACGTTTTAAAATTATTGTTGTCTATTGATGAGTTGCCCTACTTGGAAATCTACACCAATTTATTACCCTATTAGCAGTATATGAAACTGACTGTAGTCAGCACTCTTCTCACTTCTGGGTTTAATTATTTAAAAAATTCTTGCCAATTTATTGGATAAAACTGTCACAGAGCACCTTAGCATGAAGTAAAGTAAAATTTACATTTCTGGAAAAAGAAGTTTGTTCAAAGACTTTTCTTCTCAAAAAGAGGAGGCTCTGAGCCGAGGTTGGATTACTCAATAAGCAAGGTAAGCATGAGCTTACTCGTGCTTAGTTATTAGTCTATAGTGAACAATTTCACATGAGTGTCACCATATTGGATCCAGTAGTTAAATTAGTTCTTTTATGTTTGCTTTTGGGGAGGTAACACATACTTTTAACTAAGTGTGTCACACAGTATTTTGTGTCCTTTGACTTACGTTGTTACTGCTGTGTAGCATCACGTCAATTTTTAAATCATGGCAACCTATGGGGGAGCTCTGGTGGCATAGTGCCTAAGGCACTTAACTGCTAACCAGAAGGCTGGTGGTTCAAACCCACCAGCCATTCCTCGGAAGGAAGGTTGGGCAATCTACCTCCCTAGTGATACTGCCTCGGAAACCCAAGGAGGGGTCGCTATGAGTCGGGTCCAACTCGACAGCAACGCGTTTGGTTTTTTTGGTTTCAGCAACCTATGTGACAGGGTAGAACTGCCCTAGGGGTTTTCTTGGCTGTAACCTTTACAGAAGCAAATCATCAAGTCTTTCTCCAGCAGAGCTCCTGGGTGGGTTTGAACCGCCAACTTTTAGGTTAACAGCTAAGCATCTACCCATTGTGTCACCAGGACTCCTTCTAATTTTGCCCCCTCTTTCCCAGCCTGGATTCTGGGAAGACCACAGAAGCCTAAGCTAGGCAACAGATTCTAGGATTAGAGAACTTGGAGGTTTTTATTCAGCGAACACAGAGGCTTACAAGAAATGCCAGGGTTAACAACTTGAGTAGACTTGTGGCCCGACATTCTGGAGGACCCTCTAGACAATGAGAGAACATTTCTGAGGGGACTTTAAAAAAAAAAATTTTTTTTGAATCCAGCACATTTATAACAGCAGTATAATCACTCACAAAAACCATAATCCTTATCAGTTTCTAATAAATTTTTCCTCCTTTAAAAAAAACCATGAAAACATCAAAGATGTAATTTAAATTATCAGATTGCTTCACCATTGGCTTATTATCTGGACTGTTGAGGTTCAACTCTTCTTAGCAAGATGTGGTCAAGAAAATATAGATGTCCCGTGCAGGTGTAAAATATAGTAATGCCATATTTTATGAAGCTGAGGGTCCAGATTTAGCAGCAGAACCTCTGCTCCTACCTCTGCTACATGTGGGGGGTGCCTATGACCTTGAGAGCTTCTGAGTTTATGTATTTTGAGGAACAGATGTCAGGTACTATAAACAAACACAGTTTTGCTTCTGACAGCCTCTGCCTCCTCAGTAGTCAGGCAGCAAGTATGCAGTCTTTATTGCCTTTCTAAAGCAATGAGTGTGCATCTGTCATCTCCCAGGAATGTCACTCAGCCTATGACCTTCAGCTCTGTCACTGCTGGGTCCACTATGTGCAGCCACCATTCTAAGGGCAGGGAAACTTGGTACTTCCACACGGCGCCAAAAGTGTAATGTATTAGGGAGGACTTTAGGCTAGAAAGGAGCTCTGGTGATGCAATGGTTAAAGCATTTGGCTGCTAAAGAAAATGTTGGCAGTTGAAACTCACCAGCTGCTCCCTGAAAGAAAGATGGGCCGTCTGCTTCCATAAAGATTGACAGGCTTGGGAACCCTGTGGGTTCTCTCTGTCCAGTAGGGCCACTATGAGTTAGAATCAACTCGATGGCAGTGGTTTTGTTTTTTTGCTTCATTTTAATAGTTTACAAGTTCAGAGCTTGTAAGCATAGCTACTCCTAGTTTTCACCCCCAAAACCAAAGAGTCTTCAAAATGGCCATTTAATTAATTTTTTTTCCAAAGCTGTGTCTGTGTGAGCTGAATGACCATGACCGCAAGGTGGCTCATGGAGAGCTGGTGGGCATGCAACTGCTAATGGATGATGTAATTCTGAACAGCTATCATGTGATCATGGAAGGCGCCCCAGGACAGCAAGCCACACTGGACAGAAATACACAGGTATTCATAATAAATAATCTACATAATTGGCCAGTGCTGTGTTACAATGAGGGAGTTTTCTATTTGAGGAATGAGTTAGAGAACCACATCTGTCTACAGTGTCTCCTGGCGGGTCCTAGGCCTGTGCTCACGCAACACTTGAGCAGCAATGAAACAGGAATGCCCTGTGAAAGGCACTCCAAAATATTTCTTTTACTGTAAGTCCCAAGTCAGTGGTACATCCATTTCTTTTAATTTTTGAAAACAGAACTAAGTTTATGGGAGGTCCATTGAAACCAAATGAAAGAAACACTCCAACTGGATGCTTTTCCTTGTGAGTCACACATGGAGGACCAGAATGACAAGGGACAGAGGGGTGAGATGGAGGTTCCTAGTGAACATCACAGACCCAGGCTGTCATCCACATCACTCAAATAGGCTGTGGACTTCTAGACAAACACTCCCTTCTTTGGACTTGTCCTTCTGAAGTTCTGAGGTACCAAGAGCCACTAGCACACCTAATATCATAAATTTCACTTTAAATAGTTCTGTGTGTATCTAGGAACCAGACATATGTTTGAACCCAGGGAAAACTAGCTGGTATCACCATTTAAAGAACATCTTTTTCAGAGCCAAACTTTAAAAAAAAAAAAAAATTATTGTGATTTGGGTGAAAGTTTACAGAGCAAATTTACTTTTCATACAGCAGCTCATATACACTTTGTCTCATGACAATGATGCAATTTTCCACAATGCAACAGCTTCCCTCCCATTCAGTTGTCTTCATTCTTCTTTGCTCTAGACAAGGTGAGACCCATTGATCTCAGTCACCACTCATCAAAGTAGGATGTGGAACAATGTTTTTGTGAAGTATGTTATATCAATTGAGCTTGATGTCCCCTGCAACCATGGTTCAGAGCCAAACTTTTTGAAAGATGCCTACAGCAGCCACTTCCATTCCCTTACCTTCTATCCATGCATCAAAACGTTGCAATCTATCTTCTTCCCCATCACACCACTGAAACCATTCTCAATAAGAGTACCCTGGTCCTTGTCACTAAATTCACTGTATACTTTTTAGTTCCTTTCTGACATGAGCCCTGGGCAGCATGTGACACAGAATGTTCTTCTTGGAACCCTCTGTGCCCTTGGCTTCCACAGCGTGACTCTCTCCTAGTTTTCCTCCAGCATCGCTGGCCACTCCTTCTCAGACTTGTAGACTCCGTGATTTCTACTGATCCCTGAAATGCTGGTGTTTCTCCAGTTCTGCGCTACCAGCACCAGCACCATCACCACTGGGCGCCCTGGTGGCACAGTGGTAAGTGCGATAGATTTAGTGATCTGCTCTTGTAAATATTTCAGCCTAGTAAACTCAATAAGGCAGTGATACCCTGTCATTGTAGGGTTGCTGTGAGTTGGAACTGATTTGACAGCACCCATCACTATTACTACCAGGTCCACATTTTGACTTCCATGGGCCCTAGGCACTTTTGTTTTTATTGGCCACTTCCTTGTAAAAAAAAAAAAAAAAAAAGAATTATATTTTACTCCTATGCTAGTACAAAGACAAATGCATTGAACCATTTTATTCAACCTAAAAGTTCCTTCCCCCCACCCCCACTTGATTTTAAAGTAAAACTTTTTATGGGTTTTAGGTGATGTCCCTCCTATGCCTAGTTAATGAAACCACCCTGACTACTACTGCTACTTACTATTACAGCTACTAGCTATGAGCTAAAGTGTGTTCAGGGTGCTTTATATGTATTGTTTAATCCTCACGATAATTTCATGAGCTGGGTACTTTTATTATTCTCATTGTGCAGATAAAAATATGAAGGCTCAGAAATATTAAGTGACATGTCCAAAAAGTCACATGGCTAGTGAGGGGAAATACCCAGATTCCAACCCAGCAGTGTGGCCCTGGAGTCATCATACACTAAACAACTATGCTGCTCCATGCCCTACTCGCTCCCTAGGCAAAACTCCCACTTTCATAGTTTTGATGACATTTACACCCGATAACTCCAAAATCTACATCTCCTACATACATTCAACTGCTTACTGGACATTTCCACTTGAATATTTTACTTCAGGACAGTGAATCTCAAACTGAGATTATTTTCTGCCAAAGGGGCAGGGAGGTGGCATCTTCTGCCCTCCTCTAACTCCACAAGAGGGGGACAGAATCACCATCAGCAACCCAATGCCTGCTGCTCTGAGGCTAGACATGCCACCAACCTCCAGCCCTTTCACCAACCCTGACACCAACCCTTCCTCCCATGGTACCCACCACCTCTCCACTGGGTTCGACAAATCACTCGCAGATTATGGGGTTTATTAGAGAAGGAACAGGCTACAATTCAAGTTCAGGAACATGCTCAGTCTCTCAAAGTCAGCCATCCCTCTCAGCCGACAGTCTCTCTCAGTCTGTCTCCATAGCATGTCTCTCTCTCTCAGCAGCATGTGTCTCTTGTGTCTCTCTCAGCAGCATGTCTCTCTCATGTCTCTCAGCAGCATGTTTCTCTCAGCAGCATGTCTTTCTCAGCCAACACTCAGAGAGCCTCCTTCTGCCTCTAAGCCAAATAAAAAAACAAACTCATTGCTATCAAGTTGGAGCTGACTCATAGCCACCCCTCCTTGCGTTTCCAAGGTGGTATCACTACAGAAGTAGGTTGCCAAATCTTCCTTCTGAAGAGTGGCTGATGGGTTTGAACCCCCAGGGTCCTGGTTAGTAGTCAAATGCCTTAGGTACTACACTACCAGAGCTCCCAGGAGGGCTCCTTTTGAGCCTGGCAGAGTGGCTAAAACCATCAACTCCAACATTAGCATTCTACACACCTGAGAGAGAGTGAGCTTCCCAGAAAATTACTTCCTGCCACTCCAAAAGAAATACACTAGGTGAATAACTTTAACAATCAGATACTCAGTTGCTCAGGGCAAAGTGGGAGTTACCAAGACTATGGCTAGAAAAGTCATATGATGTAATTTACTACACTGTATTTTCTTTCCTCAAAACTTGCCCCTTCTGAATTTCCTAACAGTGAAAGTTACCATCACCTGCCCACTTGCCCAAACCAATCTGGGCACCATCCTTGACTTTTTTTGCTCTATCATCTCCTACAACCAGATACCAAGATGTGTTATCCTATTATTTTAGTATCTCTTGAGTTGTCTACTTTTCTCTATCCTTCTCCTAACACCACCACCATTCCAAATCAGCATCATCTGCTATTGCTGAACTATGAACATAACTTTCAACTGAATATCCTACATTCACTCTTTCCTCCTTCCAATCCATTCACCAGGGTAATATATTTAAAATGTAAAGCTGGTTATGTCATTTCCCTACTTACAAACACTTAATGGCTTCCAAATGCCTTAACCAGACCTTCATGAGTTGGCTCCTGCCAATATTTCTACTCTCAACATCTCTCATTTTCTCAGACGCACCATGATTGCGCTCTCTCTCCTCTGTCCTCTCACTGAAGCTGGTCCCTCTGCTTGAAAACTTCCCTTTCCTCCCTCTCTCTGCTTAATCATCTGATTAACTTCTACTAATCATCAGGTTTCTACTTCCAAGACATTCTCTTTAGGAAGCTTCTCCTAATCTTTCACCTTCAAGTAGATGTTCCTTTGGTGCCAATTAGGATGCTTCTGCTGCAAGTAGCAGGGTGCCCCACTCAAATTAGAGAAGTTTATGAATCTTTCATAACAAAAAGTCTAGAAAGAGACAGTTCAGGTTGATGCAGCCACTCAACAATGTCTTTCTTCAAGGACTCAATTCTGCCATCCTAGATGTGTCAGCAAATCATCTCTCTCATCCTTGAAAGATGAAATGGGAACAAAAAAGCTTTTTGCTTGAGGGTCTCTATCTTTTTATTAAGGAGGGATTTTTTTTTTTTTTTTTCCAGAAGCTTCTCAATAGATTTCCTCTGTGTTTTAGTGGCTGAAATTGAATCATATGTCCACTCCAGAACAATGGAAACAGGAGTGGGCTTAGACAAGCCATATAAATTTCATAAAAGAATCAGATGCTTTACTTGGAACATCTGTCAAGCTGTGTGTAGACCAAGAAGTGCCAAGTTCAAGAAGCATGCCAAGTTCTTGATCCCTCTGTTTACCATTTTTTGACCCCATTTCTGATGAATTACCACTCTTCCCTGACACCCCACCTTATGCTTTCTTTATTCTGTCTCCTGTTTCTTCTCCCATCCTTTAAAGCATTATGTAGAGAAGACTTATGAGCTCTGGTAGCGTAGTGCCTAAGGCATTTGGCTGCTAACCAGAAGGCTGGAAGTTCAACCCACCAGCCACTACTTGGAAGGAAGGTTGGGCAATCTACTTCCGTAGTGATACTGCCTCGGAAACCCAAGGAGGGGTCACTATGAGTAAAGTCCAACTCAACAGCACATAACAACAACAGAGAAGACTTCTCTTAACAAGAACATATTAATAATGTTCACTTTGAAGATATTATTTTATAATTATTTTTATGATATGTTTTTTATTTAAGAGAATCTAGGATGTTCACAAGGAGCCCTGGTGGTTCAATCATTAAGCACTTGGCTGCTCACCCAAAGGTGGGTAGTTAGAACCCACCCAGTGGCTCCATGGGAGAAAAGACTTGGCATTCTGCTCCCATAAGGAATATAGCCTAGAAAATCCTGTGGGACAGTTGTATTCATCACATGGGGTCACTATGAGTTGAAATGGACTCAATGACACCTAACAACAAGCTATTCACAGATAACAGGAAGTATTAGAATTTATACTGCCCAGTGAGTCAGGACCACCAGTTCTGTGATCTCTCTGGGCCTCAGTGCCCAAAATGCCAAAGTGAAGGTGATGGATTCATTCAGGACCTTAAAACTGAGGTCCAAGAAACTAGGATTCCTCAGAAGCCCCTGGCAGCCTCTCGAGGAAGAGGGACAACTACGTGTCCTCGAGGCTACTCCCTTCATGTCACTAGAGTTCTGCCTTGATCTATTTGACACTTTTGCCACTACATAAGATTTCATTTGATGGAAGGATTCCCAGGCTAACAGAAATCCATGGGCAAGCTGATTATTGAGGAAGCAGACCTCAAGGTCACGAGGTTGCCATCTGTCTGAGGGAGCTAGCTCTTCCCTGGGTCTTGCTTGCCAACTCTCCCTCAGCTTTTCTTCTGGAAGACATCCCTGCCTTGAGACATGTTAATAGACTGATCTAGGATCCAATTACACTAGTTTGTCCTTTGTCCTAAAGAGCCCTGGTGACACAGTGGTTAAACACTTGGCTGTTGAACTGAAAAGTTGGCTGTTGGAACTCATCAGGCACTCCGCAGGAGAAAGACACGGCAGTCTGCTTCCACAAAGATTACAGCCTCAGAAACCCTATGGGGCTGTTCTTCTGTGTCTTAGAAGGTCACTATGAGTTGGAATCAACAGTGGGTTTGGGGCATTTGTCCTGTTTCTAGCCAGGAAACTACCTGCCTAAGGTACCCTCATCTGAATAGAGTGTTCTCTGAGGCCCTTGTCAATGTAACATTTTGGGATTTGTCATTCTCTTCTGCCGAGAAAAGCTCTGTTTTGCTGTGACTGAGACACAGTAGCCAGGCTGAGGGCCTGGATGCAGGTCCCAGTTAAGCCGTCTCTCTCTGGGTGCCCCTGGCCCTCACACCACTGGCTGCAGAAGAGCAGGGGCCAGAATACCTTCTGCATCCTCCAGGATGCATAGCAGCCCCTCAGCAAACACTTATGTAATGAAACCATCAATGAATGAATGAGCAAGTTACAATCTTAAAATAAAATTATCTATTGAACGATAAAATCAAATTAAGAGAAACAGGCTCTGCCTAACTTTTTTTTGTTTTAATTTTTTTTTATTGTTGTGAATGTACACAGCAGAACATACTCTTATTCAACAACTCAGTGATATTGATTGCATTTTTCAAGGTGTACGATCATTCTCACTCTCCTTTTCTGAGTTGTTACTCCCCATTAACATAGACTCTTTGCCCCCAAGTGTCTTATCTAATCTTTCTAGTTGCTTTTGTCAATTTTATCCCATATTGATAGTTCCGAAAAAGCACAATGCTCAAACTCTGCCTAACTTTTAATGGATGAGGAAAGGAACAGAAGATAGGATAAACTTAAGCTTCATATCCTTACTCATAAAATGGGTAAAACCCTCAATGTAAGGTTGTAGTATAGTCTACAATGATGATAGCATGGGAAGGAGAAGGAGCTTAAATCTTAAGTGTTTTTGAAAAGCACTTTCCAGAATGCAAAGGCTAAACATGAAAAGCTCCATTTACAAAGACAGATAAAATGTTAGTATCCAAATATAAGAGTTTTCAAAATGGGTAGTTCAAGACACAAGCAGAAGCTTAGATTAAGACATTTCCATCCTTTCTGTACACCGCTGTTCAGGAGGAATGCTTAATCTCTCTGGGCACTCTATGTGCTACAGGCCTTGAAACATTCTCCAGAGAATGCTTTACTTTGCATGAGGTGCATGCAAAAGGTTGTCTAGTACTGGACTAAGATTAATAAAGAAGAATTTCTCTCATGCTTTCAGCCAGAGTCGCCCAAAATGCTAGAATTCAGAAGTCAGTTCCTAAGCAGCCCAAAGATCTCTGAGCTGCGGGAGAGCTCGTGCAATGCAATAATATCCCTCGCTTTGCTGAGATCCTTTCTGATACTGTGGAAGCAGCTGGAAGTGCTGAAAGAGCACTGGGGCCGCCTCAAGCTGCGAGGCCAGGACATCAATACAGTTTCTCTCCACAAACAATTCTCCGAGCTCTACGGGTGAGTGTTGCTGAGGCAGAAATTCATGTCAATTAGTGGAACCTGAAGTTAGCAAATTCCTGCCCCTTGCACTGAGGGCAAAATTTGGCCCATAAGTCCTAGCCCACTGAGTCCAGAGGAAGATGACAATATCTGCAATGATTTATAGGAAGAGCTAGGTTATATTAACTTCAGAGACAGGCTGGATTCCACTAAGCTGCACGTGTATACAAACAGTTCCTGTGTTAGGAACAACATCCATTCCTAAGCCTATCTTTAAGTTGAATTTATAGATAAGCTGAAGGAGCTCTGGTAGCACAATGCCTAAGTTATTTGACTGCTAACCAGGAGGCTGGCAGTTCAAACCCACCAGCTGCTCTGCAGAAGGAAGATGGGGCAATCTACTTCCATAAAGATTTACTGCCTTGGAAACTCAATGAGGGTTGCTATGAGTTGGAATCCACTTGATGGCAGTTGGAACAGGCAATGGTTATAAAAGTAAATAAGAGGAACATTTAAGCCAAATACAAAGTGACACATTCAACGCAGTGTTATTGGCAAAGTGATCTGACTTATAAAGGCTCCTTTTTAAGTTGCTCGCCATCCTAGACCATACAAACCACTGAAGCTTCACAATGTTTTCATGAGCAAGACAAAGTAGTGCATGAGTTGGTTATTATGAACTATTGTATTTACCTCAAATTTTTAATACAATAGGCTTTATGGCAGTCCATTTTTAAGTAAGAGTTGTCTGTAAGTTGGATGTTCTTATCCCAGGGACTACTGCATCTTTTGCCTAGAGTCTGACACTGGGAACTTGTGCTTGTCGAGTGTCCCCACAGTGCTGACTCTAAGAATGACAGCCCATAGGATCCCAGGGAGCACTAGATGGGAAGCTGGTGCTGCCGTGAGCTCCTCCCCACTCCCTGCCCTATTAGACCCCCGTGCTGAGTCCCTGAGAAGCTTCATGTGTTTCAGTCAGAGGTATAAATATGGCCCAGCATGGCACTTCAGGTCTGCAAGACGGGGGGTGATTTGAGCAGCTTCAGGCCCTCAGTCTGCCAGAAATTCAAGCCTGATTCAGAAGAGGGCATGGAACAAGGGATATCATTGCTGATATCAGGTGGATCTTGGCTAAAAGCAAAGAATACCACAAAGATGTCCCCTTGTGTTTTATTGATTATGCAAAGGCATTCGACTGTGTGGATCATACCAAATTATGGATAACATTGCAAAGAATGGAATTCCGGAACACTTAATTGTGCTTATGTAGAACCTGTACAGAGACCAAGAGGCAGTCGTTTGAACAGAGGAAGGGGAAACTGCATGGTTTAACCTTTTCTACTGCTCCACTTGGGAGCTCTGGTGGCATAGTGCCTAAGGCATTTGACTCCTAACTGGAAGACTGGCAGTTCAAACCCACCAGCCACTCCTTGGAAGGAAGTTTGCACAGTCTATTTCCTTAGACATACCGCCTTGCAAACCCAAGGAGGGGTCACTATGAGTCAGATCTGACTCAATGGCAGTGAGTTCAGTTTTTTTTGTTTTTTTTTTTTGGTTTTGAAAGAGGAAGTGTAGCTTGGAGGTGTGAATATGTAAAACTTTTTTGTTTTGTTTTGTTTTTGTATAGCAAGGTAACCCTTATAAGTATGAGTACAGTTTCCTGTGTGTTATTTGGAAGTTTTAGGTTTGGTGATGATGCAATTTTCAAGCAAATAACTTCTCAGATGCAATAGCAACACGGTGTCTTTATGTAAGTCACATGCACCTTCTACATTTGTTTACCAGCTGCTACCCCCCCCCAGGTGTTTTCATAAGTGCTATACTAATTTTTGTTTACAACACTATGTAACAAGTAGGTAGATGTGGCCAGCTTTCCTTCAGGCTCACCCTTTTTAGGCAGCTTAATGTGGACTGGGAATCAAAAGAATAGGAAGAGCTACCTGTCTTGTGAAGAACAAGCCAGGTATAAGTGGGGCGCCAAATGACATAGAGCTCTCACACACTGGAAAGCATTTACTTCAAAGGAAGTAGAGGCACTGCAGAGAATGCAGTGCTAAGATGGAGACTCGAACAACGATTATGTGCAGCCATTGCAGGGTGCCTTTTTCTGTTACTCCACATTTCCAAAAATTTCACAAAATGAAATTAATGCGTTAAAATATTTTTCTCATGCCTCACCCTCCCTATCCTACCTCCAGAGTCCAGGGGAGCATCTGTCTCCCGCGTTGTGCTTGTTGAACTCCATCATACCTAACAAAATTGTAACATGATTCAATTATTCAACATGCATTCCATTACTAAAAAGTCTTAAATCAACCAAATTTCACAAACATAATATAATTTGGTAGCGTAGGGCCTAAGGCACTTGACTGCTAACCAGAAGGCTGGCAGTTCAAACCCACCAGCCACTCCTAGTAAGGAAGATGGGGCAATCTACTTCCATAGTGATACTGCCTCGGAAACCCAAGGAGGGGTCGCTATGAGTCGACGGCACATAACAACAACAACAACAATATAATTTGGTTATGAAAGGCTTAAAATCAGGACAGGTGAGTGACAGAGTTATATCCTTTCACCATACTTATTCAATTGCAAATAATCAGAGAGGTTGGATTATATGAAGAAGAACACAGTATCAAGAATGGATAAGATTCATTAACAACCTGTGATATGCAGGTGACACAATTTTGCTTGCTGAAAGCAAAGAAGACTTGAAGCATTACTGACAAAGATAAAAAATGACAGCCTTGAGTATGCATTACACCTCCACATGAAGAAATAAAAATCCTTACAACTGGACCAATAAGCAATATCATGATAAATGGAGAAAATATCGAAGCTGTCAAGGATTTCATTTTACTTGCATCCACAGTCAACACCCTTGGAAGCAGCAGTCAATAAATCAAGATGTATAGCATTGGGCAAATCTGCTGCAAAACACTTCGTTAAAGTTTTAAAAACTGAAGATGTCACCTTGAGGACTAAGGTGCACCTGACTCAGGCTATAGTATTTTCAATCCCTCATATGCATGTGAAAGTTGGACAGTGAATAAGGAAGACCAAAGAAAAGTGATGCCTTTGAATTATAGTGTTGACAAAGAATATTGAATATGCCATGGACTGCCAGAAGAATGAAAAAATGTGTTTTAGAAGAAATACAGCCAGAATGCTCCCTAGAAGTGAGAATGTCAAGACTTCATCTCATATAATTTAGACATGTTACCAGGAGGGACCAATCCCCGGGCAAGGACATCATCCTTGGTAAAACAGAGGGTCAGAGAAAAAGACCCTCAACAAGATGGATTGACACAGTACAACAATTTTGAGTATGGCACAGGACCAGGCAGTATTGTTTTCTGTTGTACATAGAGTCACTATGAGTCAGACCAACTCAACAGCACCTAATATCAACAAGAACAGACCCTGGCTGGGATAACTTAGCTGGCAGGAAAGACACATTACTTATGCCATGTGTCCAGTACCCAACATGCATTTACTAAACACAAACACAAAGATTCCCTTTAGCACAGTCAGAACTTTGTGAAATTTGTTTACTTTATGAAATTGTTACAGTCAACTGTCCTGATAGTTAGTGAATAAGAAGTCAATATTTTGAAGAATGAGGGCTGAAAGTTCTATGTACTCAATTGAAAAAGCCTCTGCATTTAATATTGACTAAGGTAATAGAATTGCACTGAAGGAATTGGTGGAAAACTAGGCTCCAGGAATTGACAAAATACCCATTGAGATGTTTCAAACAGATGCAATGCTAGAAACACTCATTTATGCCAAAAAATATGGAAGATAGGTACTGAGCCAAGCAGCTGGAAGAGTTCCATCTTATGCCTATTCCAAAGAAAGATGATCCAACAGAATGTGGAAATTATTAAACAATATCATTAATATCACATGCAAGTAAAATTTTACTGAAAATAATTCAAAAATGGTTGCAGTAGTACATTGACAGGGAACTGCCAGAAATTCAAGCCAGATTCTGAAGAGGACATGGAATGAGGAATATCATTGCTGATGTCAGATGGATCTTACCTGAAAGCAAAGAATACCAGAAAGATGTTTACCTGTGCTTTATTGACTATGCAAAAGCATTTAACTGTCTGGATCATAACAAATTATGGATAACATTATGAAGAAAGGGAATTCCAGAACAATTAATTGTGTCATGAGGAACCTGTACTTAGACCAAGAGGCAATTGTTCAAACAGAACAAGGGGATCCTGCATGGTTCAAAATCACGAAAAGTGTGCATTAAGGTTGTATCCTTTCACCACTCTTATTCAATTTGTGTGCTGTAGAAGCTGAACTATATGAAGAAGAAAGTGGCACCAGGATTGGAGAAAGACTCATTATCAACCTGCAATATGCAGATGACACAACCTTTTTTGCAGAAAGTGACTAAGACTTGAAGCACTCATTAAGATCAAAGACTATATATAGCCTTCAGTATGGATTACACCTCAACATAAATAAAACTAAAATCCTTACAACTGGACCAATAAGCAACATCATGATAAATGGAGAAACGATGAAATTGTCAAGGGTTTCATTTTACTTGGATCCACAATTAACTGAAGCAGCAGTCAAGAAAGCAGGTGATATATTGCATTGGGCAAATCTGCTGCAAAAGACCCTCCCTTTTTTTTTTTTTTTTTTAACTTTTCATGGTAATTTGGGTGCCATTTTATAAAGCAGATTCATTTTACACTTAACAGTTCATATACATTTTGTTTTGTGAAAACTCTCCTCCTACCTCCTCTCCTCTCTACCGCGTCTCCGGGAGCAAGGTAAGCACCATCTGGTGCTTCTGGTGGGCTTGTGCTTACTCACTGATCTGCACTGAACACTTTCCCTTGTTACCCTCCTGAGAGAGACCAGGTCTCCGGGAGCAAGGTAAGCACAGGCGGGCTTGTGCTTAGTCCCCGGGAGCGAGGTAAGCACGGGCGGGCTTGTGCTTACTCACTGATCTGCACTGAACACTTTCCC